CCAATCAGCTAACCAGTATTTTCGCCCCTTCCCAAAATTACTTCAACGGAAGGTTTCCAGATGGATATGCGGAGCAAATCCATCTGACGGAGTCAGGTTAGCAAATTTTATACACTTAATGTGTGGGACGTGTGCTCTACGAGCCCTGAAGTGGTTCACAGGCGATCCTGGGGGGGTCCAGGTGTGGCCATATTGGGCTAACATGATCAGCTCTATGAACATGTCATGATCATTGTTGCATACTTTTGGTTGGGGTGTTGGGGCCTTGTTACAGCAGATTCTAAAAAACCTGGATTTTCCGAACCTGCTCATTTTTGGTTTTATCTTCAGTAAGATCGTAGAGTAAGTTGCATTAATGTCGGCAATTTACTAAATATCTGTAAACCTGGATGATACCTTCTATAACATCAGATTCTCAGGACTCCATCATCATAGATATACTTCCCAAGGAGCCAGCCAGAAGCTTGAAAAACGCTGAAGGGTCTTTGATCATGTAAATAAAACCTAAAGACCAAGATTCAGACAAGATGACCGTACTGCCACCATTATTTCAATCAATATATGAAATGTATGAAGTTGGTCGCAAGAGGTAATTACTAAAAAATGAAGTCATTTTAAATCCACAAATTTAGGTTTTGTTGAGTTCAGGGCCTTAGATTTAAGTTGATCTTAGACTTAGACAACTTTTATTGTCATTTTGTATTCACGGAATGTATACAAGACTAAATTTCATTCTTTACAGCTTTTTCCATTTCCCAATAGGATATATATTTTGCATTGCATTTGCATTTTGCAGAACTTTATGGAGAAAAATATAGACGAACTGTCAGTCACAATGAAGCAAAAATCTTTTCTGCTGAATTGAGTGACGCTAATTTTATTTGATTCGAAAAAGTGGCTCAGCCAACCAGGGGAGGACTCAGAGTAGAGCTGCTGTTCCTCCACATCGAGAGGAGCCAGTTGAGGTGGCTCAGGCATCTGGTTAGGATGCCTCCTGGACGTCTCCCTGGTAAGGTGTTCCAGGCACGTCCCACCAGGAGGAGGCCCAGGCGTGTCCTGGGACTATGTTTCTCGTCTGGCCTGGGAACGCCTTGGGATTCCCCCGGAGAAGTTAGCCCAAGAGGCTGGGGAGAGGGACGTCTGTGGGCCTCCCTACTGAAGCTGCTACCCCCGAAACCCGACCCCGGATAAGCGGAAGAAGATGGATAGATGGGTGGATGAAGAAGTGGAGGCTTCCGTTAATATGTTCAAAACAAGGGTGCAGAGCTTAAGCATGTGACCCTTGCACAGAGGTGGGAACAGCAGTCAGAGTCATACATGTATTCAAAGCTTGAAATTAGAGTTAAAATTAAAAACTCTAATCTGCCTTCAGTTTGTAAATAGAATAATTTAATTTAAACTGCATTTGGCCAAATCAGCAGAATTTCCTTTCTGTTATAAATCGTAGAAATATCGGCGCCTTGCCCCAGCGCTGTGGCGCAGAGATGGCCTAGTGCAGGGGTCTTCAAGGGTGTTCCAGGCCAAAGACNCGGTGCTGGTTGAAAATCCTGCTGAGTTTTTCAGAGACTCCAGCAACATATGGCATGTACTTATATAACGCCTTTATTCAAGTCAGGAGACTTGACCAAAGCGCTTTACACTACATTCATTCACCCATTCACGCACACACTCACACACTGATGGTGGCAAACAACATTGTAGCCACAGCTGCCCTGGGGCTCACTGACAGAAGCGGGGGCTGCCGTACACTGGCGCCACCGGGCCCTCTGACCACCATCACTAGACAATGCAGGTGAAGTGTCTTGCCCTTGAACCGTCAACCCTTCGATTTCAGGGCAAACTCCTACATCCAACGCCACTGGGAATGGCGATGTTCCTTTTTCTGTTCTCTTCCTTCTCAGCAGACTTCTTCTTGTTGGTTTAAAAAAAAAACCCATCTGGGAATAACCAGAGTTTTTCAGGGAAGTCCCAATGTGTCCCTGTTCTCTCATCTTCCTTCTGTTGGTGGTGGGAATGGTTTCTGCTCATCTCTGAAGGGTTCTGATGACGCCTAGTTTGTGTTCCAGTGGATGGTGTGAGTCAAAGCGGAGGTACTGGTCAGTGTCTTTGGATTTCCTGTAGACTTCTATGTTGAGTTGTCTGTCTTCCATTATGTGAAGTGTGCAGTATAGGAAAGCAAGGCTGCTATCTTTCACATCTTCCTGGGTAAACTGGATGTTTCATCACAGTCGATGTGTTCTGTAAATATGTTGATATCCTTGATCTTTATTTTGATCCATGTGTCATCGACGCATCTCAACCAGTGACTGAGTTTTGTTTCCTGCCCTGCTTTCCAATTCTTCCATGTATAAGTTCGCCACTATGGGAGACACAGGAGAGACCATCACATCCATGTTTCTGCATGTAGAAATCTTGTTTGAATTGGAAGTATGTGGTGGTGAGGAACAAGTCCAAGAGATAAAAGATGCGGTCAGTCGTCAGATTGGTCCTGTCTACCAGAGTGTGCTCTTGAAATAAATGCATCCTTACAGTGGGGACTGCTTCTTTGATAGGGATGCAAGTAAGAATAGATGTGACATCATGGGAGACCATCAGAGCCCCGTAAAGACCATTACCCCCATGATTGACCTCATTGGTCAATCCAGTAGGAGGGATCTGAGACACCTTTTGTTTTTCTCCTAAATTTTGGTTCCCCCTACTGTATATTTATCTCAGTGCTGCCCACCACTAGTTAGAACCGAAGAAGCCTCTTAGATGAGAGAAGAAACGTCTTCTAGAAAACTTCATGTCCTGGTGCCTAGACTGAACTTTTCAAGCTTGACCATGACCTGAATGACTGAGAATCTTCATAAAGTTTTAGTTCGACCAACAGCGCAGTAAAGAGCTCGTGTTTTAGTGCAGCTCTGAGACTCACCATTTCTCTGATTGGTTTGAAAAGAGGCTGAAGCGTTCTTGCAAGTACACCTTGAGGGCTGTTGATGTTGTTCAACCTTTCCTTTTTTTCTGGATCGATGTAAAGAAATTCTGAACCAGTGAGGCGTGAAGAAGACATTTCAGGTGCCTTATATAAAATATACCTGAACAAAAAGAAAGACATTAAGAGATGTTTCAGCAACCACAAATTAAGTAAAAGTCATGATTTTTTTGGTTGTCATGAATTCAGTTGTCTTTTATTTAGTGACAGAGTGACGCGGTAGCTGTTTCTCAATAAGCATCTAATCTGGCATTATTACGCCATCAAAGTAGACCTATGTACCCTACTGTACAAACACGATCTTCAAAGATTCCAAGTAAATTGCACTAAATTGCATGTTTATTTTTTAGTGAGTAAATAATTAATGATTGATCTACAAACGATGCTAAACAAATTTTAAGACATGCAAACCGATTTGGTGCCACCTATTAAAAGGAGACGTATATTTCACAGTT